CTAAAGAAATAGGATCCTATTCCTACAGTGAAAAGATGATAATCACACAGAATAATCAGTGAAGCATACAAGTAAGGACACCTGTCAAGAAGTGATATGGAAATAGCTTAAATAATAGCTTTATTTTTGGGCAGGTCATTAATATTCCTTTTTTAATATTTAAAAACTCTTATAACCTAGTTTTGTGTACATCTTTTATTTTTATTGAAGCATTAACTGTACGAAATAATAAACTACATTTTGGTATGTCTTTTTTTAATATACTTAAAATGGTCATTAGGGCGATGAACCAGTTGTTAAATCATTTGAATCAATCACTAGAGCGTCCCATCAATGGATCCAGGTTCATGTCAAAACTGACGAACACTAGAAAAAGTCCATGAGAGGCAAAATATAGCCTCGAGTCTATCCCACCTGAATTGTCAGAATAACGCTATAATACATTTGCTGTATTGAGCATCAATGACACTTCATTGAACATTAATGACACTGATGAGCTGCTGGAGGACATCAAGACAATCATACATAAAGAAAGTAAAAGGTCATTAAGTGATGAGAAAAGAAAAGATTGAGTGGATGTCAGAAGAAACTCTGAAACTTGCTTTTGATTATAAAGGAACTAAAGCAAATGAAAGAAATGCAAAGGGCTGAAGAGAAAATTTCAAAGGGCAGCTTGAGAAGACAAAATAAAATATTACAATAAAATGTGCAAATAATTAGAGTTAGGAAATCAAAAAGGGAAAACATGGTCAGATTTTAACCTGAAAGAACCTAAAAATATATATATCAGGCCTTGAATAGTAATATTGAAGGATTCTATAGGCAACATATTGAACAATGCAGAAGTCATCCAAAAAAAGGAAAATACATAGAATCACAGTGCCAAAAAGAACTAGTCATTATTCAACCATTTCACGAGGTAGCATATGAGCAAGAACCAGTGGTGCTGAAGAAAGAAGTTCAAGCTTCACTGAAGGCATTAACCAAAGACAAGTATTGATGGAATACCAACTGAAATGTTTCAGTCAACTCATTGAACATTGGAAACATGCATTCACCTATGCCGAAAAATTGGAAGACAGCTACTTAGCCAACTGACTGGAATATTTGTATTCCAAAGAAAGGTGAACCAAATAATTGGGATATGTCGAACAATATCATTAGTATCACATGCACGTAAAGTTTTGCTGAAGATCGTGCAACAATGGTTGTAGCAGTACATTGACAGGGAGCTGCCATTGATAGGTTCAGAAGAAAATGTGAAGCAAGGGATATCATTGCTGATGTCAGATGGATCTTGGCTAAAAACAGAGAGTACCAGAAAGCTGTTGCCAAGGAATCATAACAAACTATGGGTAGCCTTGGGAAGAATGGGAATTCCAGAACACTTCATGGTGCTCATGAAGAACTTTTACATGAAGCAAGAGGCAGTTGTTCAAGCATGCCAAACCATGGTTCAAAATCAAGAAAAGTGTGTGTCCGGGTTGTATCCTCTCACCATACTTATTCAATCTGTACACTGAGCAAATAATCAAATAAATTGGATTACATGAAGAAGGGTGCAGCATCAGGATTGGAGAAAGGCTTATTAACAACCTGCAATATGCAGATGACACAATCTTGCTTGCTGAAAGTGAGAAGGTTTGAAGGACTTGCTGATGAAGATCAAGGATTGTAGCCTTCAGTATAGATTATGACTCAGTGTAAGGAAGACCAAAACCCTCACGACTGGACCAGTAGGTGACATGATGCACAGAGAAAAGTGTGAAATTCTCAAGGTGAAAGGCCAGGCTGTCCCACAGCTAAAGTTTTTAAAGCCTCTGGCTAGGGAGGTGTGGTTGATGGTATTGGTGGACCCCATTTGCTGAACCAAGCCCACCTGGCTGGGGAGGGGAAGGAGGGCTGAATTGGAGCATGCCCAATTAAAGGGTGTTTAATGCTCCTGTGATTTCCTTCCCAACCTCCCGTAGGGGGCCTTCGGCCATGGAGAGGGACAACCCTGTCCCTATTCTGCTACCTAACATGGTGAGACTTTCTTTCATGTACTTTGGACATGTTATCAAGGAGAGACACAGCCCTGGAGAAGGACATCATGTTTGATGAAGTGGAACAGCCGCAAAGAAGAATATCGCTGACAAGAAGGATCGACACAATGACTGGAGCAATGGGCTCAAACAACGGTGAGGATGGCATAAGACCAGGTGGTTTGTTCTGTTGTACATAGCGTTGTTAGAAGTCAAAACCTAACCATAATAACAACAGTCAAGACTATCCTTTCTGTGCAAGTGTCTTAAACTGGTTGAACCCTGTCTTTCAGGAGGAGGAAGAGTGTGACCTGGAGGCACAGACTTGATAACGTCACAAGTTATTTCACAACGTCACATTGTCTGTCCGCCTCTTAGTGTCTTTCATGACTCTCTCAAGGCATTGTGTCTGTAGCCTGTGGGTTCTTCATATATTTCACTTTTTATTGGTTGATTTAATTAACACATTATTCTCAGCCTCTGTCTTAGCCTTAAATGATCTCTAACAACTGTACGGTAACTGACACAAATTCTGAAGAAAGTCAATGACACGATTTCAGTATTGTAAGGGGCTACTGGAAAGAAAAGAGACTTAACAGTTATAACAAGATGAGGGTCATAAACCACAAATCATGAACCATTGTAATATAAGTAAGCCCTACCCAAGTTAATGAATGTGTCAGCCTTTGGGAAGGCCAGCGCTAAGAGCCTTCATATACTAATGATTTGGGGGTACAAACAGATTCCAATCTCAAATAAAATTTCAGGAAAACTTTTAGTAAGTCTTAAAGGAGACAAAACAACACAAAGACACAGGTATGTCATGAGGATGAGGAAGGCCAGTAGCACTGTTACAAATTCATGATTGTGCAGATGGATACATCACAGCTTCAGGTGGGGCTATAGAAGAGGGAACAGAACCATGGTTCCGGACAAGTACATTATGTTCGATAGCAACACTTACATGATTGATCCAGGACCTTTTGGCCAAGGCAGTCAGGGCACCACTGATAGGGCATGACTGAGTACTGTCCGTCAAGGAGGGCAAGATGATCTATATAGCCTTGGTTAATGATCCAAAGGAAATCAATGGCAGTTTAATCTACAAGGGGTTTCTATGAATGGGTCTTGGGCTTTCACAGTCATTCATAGCCTTCTGTAAAAGGGTACTCAGAATTGAAGCTCCACTACCCCATAAAATAAACTGTTAAATGATTCAAACTTCGGGATCAGTGAAATAATATTGAAGGAGTCTTGTCACTGTCTAGGGTCTGTTAAAGGCTACTTTTGTAAATGTCAACCATATCCTTTACCAACTCACATTTCTTTTTTTTTAATATAAATTCCTGTCAAAGAGCAAACTGGAGTATCTGTTATAATTAAAGTGTTTATCGAAGAAACAAAAATAATCCAAGCAGTACCTTGAAAAGATTCACCAAAGCCCTGCAGTGAGAGGAAATGTTCACATAGGTTAAACAGAGAATCTGGGAATTTACCAGAAAATTCCGATTGGTTGACATTTCCAAAATCAGGTTTAAAGGACAAAAGACAATAGCAAGACCCCTCAAATATTACTGTGTTAATCTTAAAGTCTGACTCCTGTCGCCTTTTGTTCTGTGGGTGTTTCAAGGGCCAGCCTGAAGGAATGCTCTACCTGGGCGCATGCTGTGAGAGGAAGGAGGAAGGAAGAGAGAGCCTGAAGGCTTCCTGAGGTGTCTGGCTAGCTCAGCTGGAGCAAAGCAGTAAACAACAACCCAGAAATGGTGTCTGGCCTGCATCTTTGGCGGAAGCCTCCAGTTCTTTTGAGCTCCTTGTCAATCCCATACAGCACTTCACTCCTAAATACTTCTACGTGCATCTTAAAATAAAGAGATTAATAGTAATAATAATGGCAAATGCTAGTGACAGACCATAAATGTGTCAAAGTTGTCCAGACATTTTCTAAAATGCAGTCAGTGTCAAAAGGAACTTCTTAACCTTGATTGCTCGCTGTTGTTCCCTCCAAAAGTGGAGTGTTGTCCTGGAAAGATTGAATTTCCTCAACAAGCACCGCAAGCTCAAAGGAGGACACACGACTAATTTATTGGAGCACCAATCCCTGGAAGACACTCTCACAGTAACCAGAACTCTGAGTGTTTAACACTAGGTTGTTCTCTGACAAATGTTAACTATAGATAACACATGTGGGGGTTCATAAAGACCAAAGTAATAAGGAGCAGGGAAGAATAGATCACTCTAGGGGAAATCTACCACCCTTGTGACAATACCAGTAGGCTGGCTGGCTCCTCTCCACATGTCGCAGGACTCCACACCTCAAGGCTCAGAAGGGCAGGGGTTGATTAGTGGATGAGAGCTTAAATTCTAAACACTCTCTTTTGCAGAAGGCTATGGATAGCAGGAAAACCCAAAATTCATTTGCAGAGATTCCCCCAACTTAGATTAAGCCTCCATTGAGTTCCTTCAGCTCAATAACCAAGGATGATGCCTTTAAGCCATCTCCATCCATAAAATTCCGAGAGAGGCTGGTGTCTTAATTGTTCTGCCTGATACTGAGGAGATGGCTCACTGTTCTTCGGCCCTTTGAAGCTAGCCAACTTGGTCCAATAAGACAAGCAGGCTTTTCCTAATGTTCCCCTACTGGTACTTCCTACTCTTGCAGGGAAAATCCTAATAGGGAATTTAAACCATTGGCAAAGAAACCCAATGCCTTGCCTGACCCCATGTACCGCCTCATCCCAGAACGCACTCCACTCCCCACCCTCTCCCCACCCCCCTTCTTTACAAACAAGCACATCTGCATTCGAAATCCCTGCCCATTACACTTCTCTGACCTTGCTCAGTTCCATAAAGTATAAAGCTACTTTCCCCCAACATTCAGGGCCCAGCTCTTCCAGAATGCCAGTTCCTCTGGGTGGCCGGCTAATAAATTTTTCCTCTTTCAAGTTCTCCTAGAGGGCCACCTGGTCATCCCCAGTCATGATGCTGGTTTTACACATTGACCAATATAGAAGCAATGACAAAGGACTGTGTAACACAGAAATGCTGCTTGAAAAAGCAAGTAGGCAGGATCGGTGAGAGTGTAACACTCAAAGCATCTGTCATCAACCTCAGGACACTTCAGGTCTGGGATTGCTCCAAACCTATAATTCAATGTGTGGATGGATTTGCTTTGTTCAGTTATATTCCACGTTCCTGGAACATCCTGGCATCAAGTAAATGTTACTGAATGAAGTTAGAGCTTTTTCACGTTTATGTGCACGAACAAGGTTTGGCCCTAATGTAGCTCTACAAGCATCAATATGAGGCAATTAATTCCCAGTGCTTATTGTTTGGGAAACATTTTAGAAATAGCTCTACAAGTTTGACAGGGAAAAGAGCCATGCTAGAATACACACAGACACTGCCATTGATTCTATTTCAATCAACTCATAGCAACACTGCAGGACAGAGTAGAACTGTTCCCTTAGGGTTTCCATGACTGTAAATCTCTCTGGGAGCAGACAGTCTCATTTTTCTCCTTTAGAGTGGCTGGTGGGTTTGAACTGTTAACACTGCAGTTAGCAGCCCAAGGTTTGTCCTCTGTACCACCAGCGTTCCTTCGTGCCACAACTAAACAATAGGAACATCAAAATAGGCAGTTCTGATAGAGAGGGTGAGTCAGTCTGCCTGTAATCAAAACACTAGAAATATAAAATAACTGAAGATTTAGTTTGTTAAAAATCCAAACTGTAACAGCTCCTGCCCTTCCAATAAAAATCCCTTAAGCTTGCAAATGATGGGAGCTAGAGAGGAGACCCACAGCACACCTATAGGCAACTGGACATTCCCTCACAGAAGGGTCACAAGGAAGGACTGAGTCAGCCAGGGTGCAGCATAGCACTGACAAAACACACATCATTCCTCTAGTTCTTTAATACTTCCTCCCCCACCCCCCCTTACAAATCCGGCTAGACCAGAACTTGTACAAAGGTACAGATTACACCTCTTGACACAGGGACTCCAGAACAGAGAAAACAATCAGGGGTAGTAATGAGAGTAGCGATACCATA